AGAATGTTGGATTAGAATTGATCTCTGAATATAAAGTGATGGTTAAATGTTTTGGGGTCTCAAAGGCAAGGATAGATAGTGTATAAGTCGCTATCAAGGATTTAGAATAATTTCAGTTACATATTAGATATTTTCGTTGTTAGGCCCTAATAGATGGTTGGTTAAAGTTAATGATTCAAAAAGGCTCGGAAAGATTTCAACATTATGATGATTGAGAAATAGAGTTGAGAAAAGGAAAGATTATATAGGAAACAATCACGATCGATAAAATGATTAACCTCCACGATTAGAATGGGAAAATGAATCACATCAATAAAGATTGTTTAATGAGGATTTCTTTGATTTGCCTTAAAGTAGTAATTAGTTACCAAAGAGTTCAATCGGATTGGAAGAAAAAGAGAGAAAATAAGTATCAGTTTAAGGATAAAGTGTTACTGAAGAGGAAAGGTACTTCGATTTCGATAATAAGAAAAGTTAAGAGTCGAAAGGTTTGGTTTAGATCTTCTCTGTGTTGCTATACGAAAGGAGATTACAATTTGAAGGAGTTTGGTTACAAAAAGAAGTTATAAGAATGTTAGCGTAAGAAGTGAAGTACTAGAATTCAAGTATTGTTAACTGAATAAGGTTCCTTGCAATACGTACAGGTTTAGAATAATTACATAAGATTATGAATGATGTTTGGAAGGTGATACAATGATCGTTGAACCAAGTGCGTGTGGAAAAATCGATGATGAATTTTCTTAAAGGGAAGAATTGTAATACCCCAAAAATTTCAACACACGACTAAAATGCAAATTTTGAAAGTTGGTGGCTAAAGTATAAATTTAGAAACATTTAGGGACCTAAAGTGTAATTTTAAATAGTTATATATTTTGGTCCCATAAATGGATAGGTAATTTTTATGCTGTCAGATTTTTTATCTGAAATTTGTAGAAAACGTTATTAATCGGTAAAGTTTAGTAAAATAAGCAGATATCTTATTTGAATAAAAAATTTACAAAAATTTGAAGGATGGTAGTATGAGGTTAGAAATTTTGTTTTAGTATTTTTAATATGAAGAATTTTAACCGGATCAGTCAGATTAAAAGAATTTATCATGTTTTAATGAAATAGTGGAATTTAGTGACTAAATTGGATTTTTATAAAGTTGAAAGGGCAAAGAGTAAAATTGGTAAGTGGGATTTTTTTATATTTATTTAAGATTATAAAATTGGAGATAAAAGGAAGGCATGGGGTAAATAAGATAATCATTAATGGCAATTTTGACATTTGGGCCACAATGAATTTTTAATTAATCTAAAAGGCCCATATCAGAGATATTTGCAAGGAAAACTCACGAAAACTGTGTCTTCTTCTCCCGCTGCTGGACGCCCTTCATAGCTAAGGTAAGCAAAGCTCTCTTCTTTTTTTTCAAGTTTTGAGCCATTTTAATTAGAATTAGGACTTAAGTGAGAAATAAGAAATTGTTCCTCACTAAATTCTCTACAAATTGGTATAAGTATTGCCTTGTTTCATGTTGAAATGTGAAAATGGGTTTTTATGGTGGATGAAGGGGAAGTGAGAAATCAATGAAATAAGATTGGATTTTGATGTAGGGAGTATTATGGAAGCATAAACAAACATAAAAATTGATTAAAAATTATTAAGGGACTAAGTTGAAAGCATTCAGTCATGCTGGGTTTGAATGAAGAAATGTTGATTTTGATTTGTTTTTGTTATGAGAATGATTAGAATGAATGGAAATGAGTTGTAGGTGATGAAACCAAGCTTAAATCAAAGTTGGAGACCATTAAGGAAAGTATCCAAAACTTTCAGCAATGGAGAAAAAATAGTAAAATTTGTATAAAAAATTATTGTGGGTTTAAACTAGATAGAATAATGGTTTCATAAGGTTTGGATTAAGTTTTGGATCAATTTGGATCAATGTTAATCTTAGAGAATCTTTTTGCAAATTTTGAGAAATTGGAGGATTGTAAAGTAAATGTTGAAAAAGTAAGGTACTATGCCGGAAATTATAGTTGGAATGATGAAATGTTGAATTTGGTTGATTTGGAAGTTGAGTAATTCCTAGGGATTAAATTGCAAGGTTTTGGAAAGTTAGTGATGAAATTGCAAAAGTGCAAGATTATTGTACTAATTTGGAAATATAGTGAAATTAGTTGAGTATGATGGTTGTTAGGGATTAAAGTGAATAGTAAGGACCAATTTGACAAGTTTTGAAATATGGGGGTTTAATTTGAAGAAATGCGTTATTGTGGGTTAAATGTTAAATTGTGAAAATTTAAGTGATTTAAGGTTGAGAATTATTATTTTCAAGGCTATGAAGGTTATTTTTTCAAGAGTTGAGTAGAATTGATTTAGTTTTAGAAATTAGCATTTAAATATTTATTTGCCGTATTTTATCAAATTGTATATGAATAAGTGTTTAACAAGTTGGTTAGATACTAACATATGTTCGAAATTATTTATGTCGGATAATTAATTTTTTAGTAGATCATGACTCGAATCGAGAACAAAACGAGCAAAAAGAAAAATAAACAGAGTTCAAGAGTGAATTTGGTTAAGTTAAGGTTGATTTCAATTTCAGGATAGAAATTAGTATTGAATGTTCCTTAGTCGAAATTTTAGAATTGCAATTCGAATTTAATTTTATTATAATAGTACGAGTACTAATGTATGTAAATTGTTTATATGTTGAAAATCGATAATTGAGTAGTTCGTGATTATAATCGAGATTAAAATGAACTAGATACGAGGGTTATAAAGGTGATCTTAGGATAAGTTGGTGAGGCATCAGGTGAGTGCAATTTATTTATTTTATATTCAATATGAGGACGGCTTGCGATGAGCCAACCTCGAACCTTTTCGATTGAAACAATTTGAATTATTTTATGAAATATCTTTATATTGATTTACCAAATGGTTTTTATATGATTTTAGGTTTGAATAACCCGAATTATTTTATTCGGTATTTTATTTCATAGCATGTAGATATTTTTGGGCATGAACTGCCCAAATCTGGTTTTATATAAATGGTTTTATATTCGATTATATGAATGAATGGTTTTATATGCAAATTAGTAATTGATTTAGAACAAAGCCCATTGTATAAAAATGAGGGTTAGAGGTACAATGGCATGCCATGAGGTGGAGTAAATTTGAATATATTTTTGATATAGCACTAGTGTGGATCACTCGTGGTCTGACTCGGTGTACCTTAGTGGTGCACGAGGTGAAGTGGTCCGGTGCATCTGATTAGCGTTATATATGCATTATATGGCACCAAGATGGGTCACTCGTGGTCTGACTTAGGTGCCTTAGTGGTACAAGATTGACTCAGTGCAATCTGTTATGACAATAAATTTGTATATAACGCACTCACTTGTTATCTGACTCGTGTACCACGTATTCTCATGATAATACAGTGGGCAAATGTCTGATATGAATAAGAAAAATATGGATTTGAAATGATCAGATTTCGAAAAGAAAAGTACAATTTTGCAATGATATGAATTGAAATAGAAAAATACAAATCTAAAATGACATAATATAGTCTAAATTACAGATTTTTATAATAAATTCTTATTACGGTTAACATATGATTTTATACATGTTTTATTTTATTAATGTTTTTATACGATACATATATTGTCTATTTTATACATTAAATATTTTATTTTATTTTACTTGGTTGCCTCACTAAGTGAAAACTTAGCGTGTGAGTGTTTCACACGTAGGTGCAAGCTAGAAAGAGAAAATAGGGAGCACATCAGTATCATTTTTGAGGAATCAGTTATGCCACCAGAATCAGTAAGTAAAGACATCTTGTCTATTAATTTATTTGATAGTGGCATGTATATCAAAGAAGTTTGTAGTTGCTTTGATTCGAGTCTCTTTAAGATATTTTTGTTTAAGTTTTGAAGGTTTGGTTTTACAAAGGACATTATTAATTATGAATATTGGTTTATTAAATCGTAATTATTTATGATAGAAACAATTTTCAAATCAGACAGTTTTTTTGACAGTTTTGATTTAAGATATGTTACAGTATAGAACTGCCCAAAATGTTATCTGAGTTGAATTTAATTTTGATATTTAAATATTAAATTATGATTTTGTGTGATTATTAGTTTTAAAATAAAGAAATGATTTTTAAATAGTAAATGTTTGTATGATTCATGTGACATTTCTGACTCATGTAAGAGTACGTATATGGGCAGTTATTGCTATATTCTGAGTTGTGTAATATCTTCGAGATTCTCACTAGTTTATTTCCTCCTTGTATAGACATAAAATTCATGATTTTTCGAGTAGAGTTTGATGTTTTTTTAGGAGTTTTGATTTTGAAAGTTATTGGTGTTGTTTGTTGTGAGGATATTGAGAGATAGAGTTTATTTTCGAAGAAGGTAATTTTTAAGTAATGAGAGAGTAATATTTGTAGTTTTTTTTAGAGGAATAACTTAAGAAGATACATTTAACTTCACTCTCTAAATTTAATGTCTAAAATTCACAAAGGTTAGTATTAAATTTAGTGTAGCAGTTTAAATCACGAGAAAGCTTTCTAACAGATAGGAGACTGCATGCTAAGTAAGGAACATAAGGCATAAATGAACGAGTAATATTATTTATGAGTTAAACTTCTATCTAATCTTCTATCTAGATAAGAGTACAAGTTAATAAACAAAATATGAATTACAGGCTGTTAGGAGTATTTATTCGACTACAATCTACACCCAGGTATCCAAAATAAGTACCTAATCAAAGGAAAATAAAAGCCTAAATTTATAAGCTATATAATTTTTGGGACTATGGCCAATGGATAGTGGAGCAGGTTCATTTTGAATTTATTTTAAACAAGAGAAAGTATAAAATAGCCTGATTGTGATTCAATGCATAGCGAAACTTTAAGGGACAAGATGGTTTGGCATCTTGTGTTTTTTCAATACCTTTAGACAGACTTCTCTATTATTTTGTTAAAAAATCCAAAGCATGTGAAATTGGTACCAAAATTACAATGCAAAGTAGGTATAAAGCCGAAGGCAGAAGTTTACACTCCTTATCAATGCCCGGTCTTACATAGATCCATCATCGATAAACAATTCCACTTGCTGCCATTGTCCTTCGCATTCCTTGTGTTCATTTTCATGGTGTTTAAGCTACGTATGAGATCCAAAATAAAGGACTCACCAGAGAAACTTCCTGCACCATGGAAACTACCTCTTATAGGGCACTTGCACCTTTTACTTTTCTCTCTTCCCCATCACCGCTTGAAGGAATTAGCCAAAAAGCATGGTCCCGTGATGCGCCTTCAACTAGATGAATTATCTCTCGTTGTTGTTTATTCGCCAGATGCTGCGAAAGAAGTGTTGAAAACACATGATATCAATTTTGCCAACAGGACCCCTCTCCTCTTTGCAGAAATCATATGGTATAATTATACAGATATTGTTTTTGCACCATATGGTGGCTATTGGAGGCAGCTTCGAAAAATTTGCACGTTGTAGCTGCTAAGTACAAAACGTGTAAAATCGTTTTTGGTCAATCAGAGAAGAGCAGGTATCAAGTTTAATTAGTTCCATATTTTCTGATATGGGATCGGAAATCAACCTCGGAGAAATGTTATGGTACGCATCATACATCATCACTTCATGGTCTTCTTTCGGTAGAAGGTGCAAGCAACATGAAACTTTCATTTCAACTATGAAGGAAGTTCTGCATGTGGTACGTGGTTTTAGTATTTCTGATATGTTTCCTTCTGTCAAATTGCTTCCTGTAATTAGCGGGATGAGAGCCAAACTTGAGAGGTTTTCACCATGAGTTGGACGTGATGCTCGAAAGCATCATTGAAGAACATAGAGTTGGCAATTCAAATCCGAATAACAGAGATGATGTAACGGAGGATCTACTGGATGTTCTTTTGAATCTTCAGGATTATGGAGGCCTTGAATTTCCCTTAACAACTGACAACATCAAAGCTGTTCTCCTGGTTAGTAGTCTGATCTCTCACATCTTACAATTTTATATATATGCGGAAGTCCTATAAATTTAAAATGCTCAAAGATCAAATAACTTCAAGCTTGAGGTCATTGAGAAATAACATTTATTTAGTCTTGACATTGCTTTCTTCAGTTTCTTGAAAGTTGTACAAAGATATTTTGTAGTTTAACCAAGTAGAAATGCTTTTCGGGACATGCTCATGGGTGGAACTGAGACATCTTCAACAACAGTAGAATGGGCAATGTCGGAAATGATGAAAAATCATAGAACGCTGGAAAAAGCACAAGCTAAGGTGAGGCGAGTCTATGATAGAACAGGGGATGTCAATGAATCAGACCTTCATGAATTGAAATACTTGAAGTTAGTTATCAAGGAAACACTAAGATTACACCCTCCTGTATCTCTGCAAATTCCAAGAGAAAATACTGAGAGATGTGAGATTAATGGGTATGAGATACCAGCCAAGACCAAAGTGGTTGTTAATATATGGGCATTTGGAAGAGATCCCAACTACCGGAACGAAGCCGATAAGTTCAATCCAGAGAGATTCATCGATAATTCAGCCGACCATAAAGGGGCCAACTTCGAATATATTCCGTTTGGTGCTGGAAGGAGGATATGTCCCGGCATGTCATATGGAATGGCTGTTGATGAGCTTTCACTTGCATAATTACTTTATAATTTTGATTGGAAGCTCCCTAATGGAATGAAAAACCAGGATTTGGATATGGCTGAGACCTTTGGTCTTACTGTAGAAGGAAAAGAGACCTGCATCTGATTCCAATTCCGTTCCACCCACCACCATGTGTTCAATAGTTAAATATATCACAGATGATCTCTTTTGTAATGCTCGTGAGAAGATTTTAAAATCACATTTGTATCTAAATAATGCCCCCTTTAATTGTACCAGGGTTGTAGCATACTAGCATGCTAAAAAGAATATTTAAGTGTGATGTCATTCAGCTGAAAGGGTACTCCTTTGTTTGAGTTGAAAATTTTCAGTTCAATATTGAAATTAATAAACAAAAATGAATTTAGTTATAATTTATATCTGAGTATTGTTTATATCTTCATATAAAATAACTAAGCTATATATATTACAGAGTACGTCAAAATATATACTTCATATTTTATAAATAATATAAAAATATTTTTTATTAAATTAAGTTATATGATTATATGAGTACGACCATTGATATGTATAAATTTATTTGTTATTATATATAATCAAGGTAGTATCCATTTTAACATTTTTCTTAATCATTTGTAAACACAGTTGTTCGAACATGGATTCTCAAAGGAAAACAACAGTCTCTTTTATTATTGAGATTATTCAATATATTCATAATCACAATTATTGTTAATTACAGAACAATGCAATTTGAATAATTATAATTAATAACAATCAATATAATATATAATGAGATTAATAATTGAAATATATAATCAGAATAGATATGAATTGAACTTAAATAGGATAAAATAAAATTAAAACTTGAACATAATTGTAATAGAACTCAAACTTAAGATTACGGAGTTTTAGGTATACAGAAAAGGGATTTCGGTTAATTATACTAAGTTGAAGATGGCAGGGGGTGAGAATATGCAGCAAGGGAACTGAAATATTAGTTCAATGATAGGAGAAAGATGGCTTTCATCATAAATATGGGAGGGGGAAGGAAAAATGAACACTTGGCACAATCATAAACGAAGCAGAGATATAACTCTTTTCTGTCACTCATGGATCAAAATATTAGTAAATCTGATCCCAAAGGGAGAAGAAGCTAAAATTACCTCGTAATGCCATTGCTTGTAGCAAAGTTATGTCTAAATTGGCTCTACTCAGGTCTTCCTTTCATTTTCCGGGCAGAAGCAGATGTAAGGTCCGTATTAGTTCTGCAAACCAAATTATACAAGACAAATACAAAAGGAATAAAGTTGCTTAGCATATGAGATATATATGGTAACGTACTATCAACCCAATTTTTCATTTAGGGGTTGTTAGCAGACCTTGACTTGTCGAGATCCACGTTGTTCAAATAAAGGCAAGATGGTTGGTCTCTGAACTTTGATACCGTTGGCCTTGGAAAAAATCCGGCATAGTATCTGTCTACCTTTGCTAAGCATAATTCGTTAATGTATTTGAAAAGCTCATGCTTTTGGGCAAAAGGTTGAGATGCATATTCTGCAAAAGGCATCCACTGGGGGGGGGGGGGCAATGGAACAAGCAATATGTATCAGATCTGTGAAAAATGGTGGTATACTTGCATTCTCTTGATTCAGGACTAGTTTGTGAATGAATTGAAGGATATATATAACATAAGTTGTACCTGAGCTGCCTCGATTTCCAGCTCTTGCTTTTGAATGTCGAAGGATAGTGGACGTAACATGCATAAGAAAAATAGATCCGACTTCTCGAAGAATGTCTTGTGTGATTGACTGAATTTAGGCACAGGATGTCAAAACAAAATAATTTACTAAGGGCTTTAAGCAATGTCAACAGTATACCTGAACCCCAGCACTTCCACAAATTCTGCATCAACCTGGAAAAGGGGGGGGGCGATTAGCGGTCCGCACAAAGCTATTAATACCCGTAAATTGTGTAAGAACAGCATATATTTTTACACTGTCATCACTTACTCCTGTTTCTTCTTTTACTTCTCTAATAGCTGCAGTAAAGATATCCTCGCCCTGTTCGTAAAAGAGATTGCTTATTATCTGATAGCAACATGAATTCAGTTCTTTAGCTGATGTAAAAAACTCCTCACGATGGCACCCTGGCAGTTGGGACATACCTCATCAACAACTCCGGTAGGAATTTTCCATATGCCGGTTCCTTGAAATCGATCCTTCTTTTCCTGAACTGTGAGCACCTATTAGCCTTGAAGATTCAGATTAAGCAACTATGAAACAAGAAGGTTGATTAATCTGGGCAAAAAAGGAAAAAAGGATTGACCAACAGCGTAAAACAAAAATGAAGCGCAAGGAAGCACCTCTCTTTTATCATTCAGGATTACTGCACCAACGCCTACTCGGTGTGTTGCATTTCCAGGGAGAGTGTTAGGCGTCTTGGGAATCCATGAAACGAGCATCAGGTAACTTGGCTCAGCATGGCGGTAACTAAACCCCTCCTAAAACAAGTGTAATGTGTTTCACTGCAATCAATAGAGTGTAATTCTGTAGTTCGTGAGATAAAACTGTTCATAGAAAATAGTCAACAATATCAAAGTTCAATATTCAAATGAAGCTAAAACATATACTCAAGTTTATTCTACAAGTTAGACTGTAATTGCATCATATAAGTATACATTACCTTCACAGTTGTTTCAACTAGATGTACAAGTCCAATAGGTAATTTAATCCAGACTCCCTTTTTACCCTGCATAGTAGAAACCAGATCCATCATGAATCTACACTGAAAAACTAAAACTAACGAACATATCAATTTGAGCAAGAATCTCAGCTGATTTTCAAGTGAAATTTCAGAAAAGCAATAACCAAATATCCATCTAAATTTAAACCTGTTGCTTCCACTGCAATATCGAAGCTCTAAGCACAGCAACAAAGGTGTCAGAGTCCATATGCTCCTTCATTTCTACAGTGATACCTCCATAATCATCATTGACAGCAGGAAGCAGTTCAGCATGCCAAACTCCATGTCCGCGCACCTGGCTTCCAACTAACTCCCCTAAGTCCGCCGATATCGACATCTGTTCCGGCAGCAATCAATAAATAATCAAATTCTCAAAATCAATTCCTAAAATAAGATGCCAAAATAAAGAGAAATTCAAACACCAATCATACATATACGATGTAATCATTTATACATATATACTTCAATAATGCATCCGTACACAGATCGTATATCATGCTTACGTAAATACATACACAAGCCGAGTGCTGTGCTTGCACGTGCACGCACGCGCACAAACAAAGATAACATATAATTAAATTACAAAAGCAGTTAAAGCACCACTATTGAGATAGAATAACAATCTGTTTGGCTAACCAGTGAATACATGTTCAAACCAATTCAAACAAAAACTTCAAAATAATTCAAACTTAATAACTGCGAATCCGATCTTGATCATGCGTAATTAACAAAATCTAACGCAACATATATCATAAAATCCAAATCAAAGTCAGATTTACCTGCTAAACGACGAACAGAGATGAGCCAATAACCGGATCTTTCTGGAGCTGGATAACCTATAATCACAGTGCTACCAAATAAATAACAATCAAAAAGAGATTCCAATACTGATTTCGTTTTTCTACTCAAATAGAAAATGAAAGGAAAGCGCGGGGAACAAATGTTAGTGTTTAGAGACGATTTAAGAGCTTGCTTGGTGCTTACTGGTTAAGTTATTATTGATTATGAGCATTAATATTTCTAGTTGGGGGTTGATATGTGATTGCCGGGCTACATGCCTTCGCATTTTATGCGGGGAAAACCACGCTGCAATGAAGTGTATGCTGACGTCATGTGGACCCCCTGAACTTTGTTTACGTGGCATACGCACGCGTAGGGACGAGAGGGACCATACAATCGAGACGCATGGACGTTTATTTTATCCTATTTCCATAAGTTAATTCGATTTAATTTGATATGATTAAATCTTTTTTAAATTTAGATTCAAATTAAGTGAAATTTAAATGATTTTTTATTTTTATTTTTGTCGAATGCGAACCTTCACTCTAAAATTTTAGTCAAATTTTTAATTAAATGAATTCATTTTAGATTTAAATAGGATAAACTATATCAAAAACCATCTTCTTTTTATTTTGACATCATTTTTAGATTTTTGTCAATTGGGTCACTCAACTATTTAAACGCATTCAATTAAACCACCTGCCGTTAACATTTGACGGTAGTGATGATGTGGCAGTTAATAAAATTGGTAGAATTACACATTTAGTCACTCTTAGTTATATACTATATCAATTTGGTCATAATTTTAATATATTAAAATAAATTTAACCATCGAATCAAATGGTGTCACGTGTCATCATCTAATTGAAGGATTTAATTTAATATATTTATTTTTCGTCAATTAGAGGGTAAGAAAGACAAAGCTTAACCATTGGGCAAAGCTGATGACTTGATATAAAATTGGCCTAAGAATATATTTTTTTAAAATTAAAAATATGTTTTTTAAAGTTCAGAAAAAGTTAAAGATATTTTTTTGTTTATTAAAAAATTAATATTACACTAAGATACAACATATATACCACTCTTAGTCCATTTTAAACCGTCAGCTTTGCCCTAATGGTTAAACTTTGGTGATATCAACCAACAAACCCAAAAACGATTCTTGAGGCCCTCTTATTTTTAGTGTTCTTAATTTTCTTCTCACTAGACGATGACACATGGCATCATTTGATTCGATGGTTAAATTTATTTTAATATGTTAAAACTATGACCAAATTGATAGAGTATATAACTAAGAGTGACTACATGTGTAATTCTATCAATTTTATTAACTGTCACATCATCACTTCCCTCAAATGTTAACGACAGGTGGTTTAATTGCATGCATTTAAATAGTTAAGTGGCTCAATTGACAAAAATCTAAAAAAGATGGTCAAAATAAAAAGGAGCTATAATTAAGTGATCTCTGATATAATTTACCCATTTAAATAATATCAAATTTCAAATAAAAACAAAACCTAACTCTACCCATAATCTTTTTTAATAGTCTCTTCATATTCGAGTCGAATCGAATAACAATAAAAAATATAATACTTCAATCAGATTCAATTAATAAAAATTAAATTTGATCCAACTTATATTCATCTCTAATTACATCCCAAATTATAAGTTTACAAGTTTCATGGGACAAGCTCTTAGAACAAATTTTAATTAAAAGCAAGATATTGTGATTTTACCGGAAAATATACGAGTTTCAATC